GTAGCTGTTACTTTACTGAAAAGTAACATATTGATATTTGCACGCGCCGATGTCAAGCTAGGATAGGGGCGTTTGGTGGGTTGAAGCTGGACAAAAATGAAGTTTTTTTCCCCGAAAATTGACCCTAAAATCACATCCATAGTTTTCAACAGTTGGGTTGTGAATGCTTCACTACCAAATGTGAAGTACTTGTACCGAAAATATGAAATCGCCGGGACTGGTTCCCTAACCCCCTCCCGGAAATGTTAGTGATCTGTCCTCGAAAAGCGGAGACAACTGCTACCATAGGCTGAGTTCGGGCGGCTTGTTCCGTATGTTCACGAACAGCTCGATTTGTTGTTCATGGGTCGGCCGCTCGAACGCCGGTAACAAGCAACCGGTTATCACAAGCAACATGAAACATGGCGGTGTCCATATACGTTATTTGAGAGTTAAGGTTTGGATGGGCTGAATTCTTTTCTATATCAACAGGAACATTCATTTCTGTGTTACGGAAAATAATAAATGTTAATTTTGCAAAACTTCCCATTGTCTACATAGTCTATGGCTTTGGAGGCCATCTCTCTACTTTTTGCAGCTGTTCAAAAATCAAAATCTCACGAGTTTGTCCGTCTGTTCTTGTAAAACCCTGACGAGGAGGTGGTGTGTGATCCTGTTCCGAGAACAGTGTTCTTGAGTCGTGTTCCCGCCGTTCGAGCGTGAGAACAAGAAACCCGTGTCAAGAACACGCCGCCCGAACTCGACCGTAGTGTCGAACCGAACAGCGCCGCTCGTGCACAAAGGACGTATGGTGTGGACGCCCCCCCGGCTGTTTGTCTGCAGTGACGAGAAGGAGCGCCCTCACTAGCATGCGCTCTGTTGGACTGGCCTGGAACAAGACGGATTTGGAATTAATATAAAAGGGTCTCGCTAGGAAGCTGTGACTCGCTCGGAATCTTAGAGGAAATGTTGCATTATTTGATGCAAAGTCCAATCCCACTGAGTGACCCCTCCTGAAAACGAGGCCTTAATCCCCGTAAAAACAAAAGCAGAAAACTCAATCGTAATTCAAGTTTTCCTGACTTTGGTGTAAGCCACGATACTGTTTCGCATCTCACGACAGGTTCATGGAACAGCTGCTTCCCTTGATAAATTTGACAACTTTCTCTTCAAATTTCTGACCATTTCCTCGCGCATTCACCCTCCCCAGTTCTATTACAAATAAATTTAGGACAAATTGTTTTCAGGCAGGGAAGTTCCACAGACTTTTGTCGTTTTTATTTTCAGTTTCGTGAAGGATATCTGAATATTAAATGTCTTGACATGAAATAGTTCTGTTTTGTTGCTATAGAACAAATAGCACCGGATGCTAGCATATAAAAGGACGCGCAAAAGCTGTATACGGCAATTTTGCCTACAGCAAAAGACCTCTATTCTATAACACACAAAGCTTAGTTATTATAATTTTTTTGGCACACCAAATGGCAAGCTACTTGATGTCCAACTGTTCGGAGGAAAACATCAATCTGCTACCCAGACACGCACAGACAAACTACTCCATTTTTCAAGAGATTGATAAGTATGTGGCGCCTTTGGTCTTATGACCAATGCTGTTTACCTCTTCGTTTCGGACGTATACCTCTAGCATCTATATCTCCAAAGCAGCGTTAGCAGATATCACATAGCTAGTGATATCCCTGTCATTTGCGGCCTCAAAAACCGAAATTTTCAGCCACAAAGCACACAAGGTTGCTGCGGCATTTGCCACGGTGTCTGTAATGGATTCGCCTTGCTTCCAGACTGCAGCTGCCTTCAGAAGGTTTCTAACCGTCCGTCGACCGCTAGCGTACGAGGCTGGAGCCAGCAACGTCAGGCCGCCACTGCTCTGTCGACAGGAATTTGGACAGTAGCAGTAACTGTGGGGGTGTCTGGGGCTTTGTCGAGGGACGGAGCTTTAAATTAGCTGTTTATATCTTCCTTGGCATTGTTGAAGTAGTCACACTGTTGTCCATCTCTTGCTTGTACTCCTGGATTGCACAGCAACTGTTGCAGCGATAATGTGGGGCGTCTATGAAGCGTCGACAGCTGGGGAATCGGGTAGTCTCTTTCCTGCTGCTTACGGCAGGCACTTACTTCGTTATCAACTTCGCACAGCCGGTTGGAACCATCCTAGGGATGATCATCTTCAGGTTGAGCTTACCTTGCCAGAATCCCTCCGGAGTAGCTTCCTCGACGTGTATCTCGCTTCGTCCGTCGTGACATTGATTCGATCTACCCTTGACCCCCTCGTCTACAGCACTCTCGATCTTTGCGTCTTTTGCAAGGCCTTCGAGAGGGCATTCTGTATATCGCGTGTTGGGCAGTGCTGCCGTGGACAGAGGATCTCTGATCAGAAGGAACAGATAGATAGTTGCAAGATATCAGCAAGAGAGCGACGTACAAGACGCAGACCATCTCCATCAGCTTTTCATCAGAGAGGATCTTGGCAGACCAAGAGACTGAACTAACCTGATTACCAGAGAAGATTTGAAGAGGCCATCAAGGCCATCATCATCTTCACCACAGCCTTCACAACCACACCTCACCATAGCCATCATGAACACGTATAACGCATATCGTGACATCCACCAAAAATAGTTCATAACGCCACGAGCAGGAGAGATTAACAAAACAACAGACGAAAGTGCTGAAGCCTAAGCCACTCTCCATGCTTATAACATGCATAAAAAGAGAGCGCAACTTCTCTGTGGACTCCTGCCAAGATCCCGCGACACATCCAGACCAATGTCCCTCTTCTGTCAGCATTAAAAACACTACCACAGAGACTTCGCTGGTTCCCATGAGCAGCGTGGTATAAAATGTGAACTTTAAAATGAGCCAAAAATGAAAGAAACGTTCCCGCTCAAACTCGAGGCCAAGTCAAGCCATATCAAGAACCAAGAAGTGTCGCATCCAGATCTGTTGTCTTGGGCTAGGTCTAAGTCTTCGCTCACTGGACATACGCGGAGGCGCGTAGACAATACACGTGGCCGTAACTCTGAAAGCCCATTTCGGACACAGCCCGAGTAACCATTCAGGTTATAAATTCGCAGTCTCCTTTTATATCCTACACGTCACGTGACCTCCCGATCATTTTTTTTATGTGGCTGAAAACATTAATCACAAGTTTTAATCATTCTTCAGAGTAAATTAGTATTCATTTGTAATTAACTTTTATGCTGTTCTATTTTTATCACCAGGTTGCCAAAATGAAGAAAGTTAACCTCCTTTTCAATTATGCCAATTCTGAAAATCCTCATTTCCCAGCAGGGATAAATAATTGAAGTTTTTTCTTTGTAGCATTTTGGATAAAAGCATTTTTTCTCAGAAGAACTTCAGGAAACAGTAAGACCGGAGGGACATCGGGATAAAAGTAAACTACTGGGGCAGCGAATGCGATAAAGCAACAGTGATATTGAAAGAAATCTACACTAATAAACACCAGAGAAGCGTGATAGACACATTTCTCCGGAAACAAAACCCTGATCAAATGCAATTTTTTTGCCGGTGAAATCGAAAGTTAGTAAGTGTGGTGAAAAACAGTTGTCAGTTTTCTCAGTACCACAAAGCTCTATACTTTACTTTAGTGAAGGTCCATACATGTTGAGTATCTTATGCAATGACAAGGCCACGGGTTATAGGAAGAAACTATTTCTAAAAGACGGAGGGGGAAATTGAAAATGTATCACTTAGTCACAGTCTGCCTTGAATATCTACCCAATTTACATACATGTATTAAGAAACGCCAACATCAAAATAGGCCTCTTTAAATGTTAAGTTGTAAATTGAGAACACCATTGAGAACAATGAAATTTGAAAAATAATAGTAACAGTTCTCCAGTGACAAGTGCTTATGTTCGTCGGTCATTGACATTTGGTCTGTCCGCGCACTTTTTGATAAAGGGCAAAGAAGAATGAAGTAGAGTCAGAAAATAAAAACTAATCAGTGATATCACAAACGAGATCCTTTAGTGAACTTTAGCAAAAGTCACATCTTGAATCGCGGAGGCAATTTTTTTTTTGAATGGCAGTTTGAAAGCGATGTTTGTTACTTTGTCAAGGGAAGTTCAGACGATGAAAGTTTGCATGCAGAAGTAGCCATCCGATTCGGAAAATAACAGCTTCAGACTTCAATCAGCCAAAATGAGGTGGAGGTCTTTGTTACGATCAGCTTGCCTATAGGGACGCACTGTCCATAAAAACCTCTACCTGTAGGACTCTTGCGGCGCAATTACTTGATTAAAAATCGCCGGTTTTGTCTTTGAACAACACTAGTTAAATGACATCCCAGAAGAAGAAATCAAGATCATCGGGAAAATTGGAAAACTGTCTCTGCAATCTTGATGAATCTTTCGAGTACTTTTGAAGATGTATTATCGAAAATGTAAATGTCCTGAAGTACGTATTTTGTGCGTCGTGGGTTGTTATGACATTTTCCCGGATGTTGAAAATTCGACGAGCTAAGGAGGCAAGTGTTGGGGCTGGGACACCACCAGGCGACAGTAGGTGGCGCTGTACACGAGACATACCTTCACTGTTACACGGCTTTATCTATTTCAAGTTGCAGACTGGTTGGGGTGATCTTCCTTCCCCTTTTCACTTTGTTGACTGTTTCTTGCAGGCTTGTACAAACTGACTGTGTGAATCTTTCCAGTCAGTATGGTTATGAAAAAAGTTTTCTCATCTCATCAAGTCAATTTGGAGGAAAAGTACTTGTTTGATTTCTGAAGTACATGTTTTATTCTCTGACTTAGAAGCAATTTTCAAATCATTATCCTCTACATTATTATAGACACTTGGGTATAAGGAAAATGAACTTGCTGTTTACACAAATAAATCGGCACAAAATTGCAGAAGCGAACACTCCTCATTGAAGTAGCGTTAAGAACTACCTATATCAAACCCACGACGTCACGGACATAATTAGACGACAGGTGAAAGATGAGCCAACCTTTATCAGAGATGCCGCATCACCTGATCTGGCGAGTATAAAAATGAGATGGTGGAAGCCAGACCCGCAGAGTGCTAAATCTGAACTCGTGGAGGACCTTCAAGTTGGACTTCTCCTCTTTTCACAAAAGACACCCCCGTCCAAGAGAAGAACTCACTGTTCATGGAGAATTCCTCGGCTCACGACCGAGAGGAAAGCAGTGGGTATCAATCCAGCTACGAGGTACCCCTCTTGACCGTGGTATGTCTGCTGGGGTTCACCGGCAACTCCATGGTGTGGACGGTCTACAGTAAGCCCAAGTACAGAAAGTCCAATGCTGCTATCTACATTCTCAGTTTGGCGGCAGGTGAGTGCCAATTAAATCAAGACAAAGTCGTGCAGTTGCAAAGATCGCGCTGTCACACAGAAGCAATTTATGTCAGGCATTCCCTTTGTTCAGAATTTTGAAGGACATTTGTTGTGAGGAATGAAGAGAATTTCAAAGGCTTTTTCGTCTTAGAAGTCTTTATAACATCTTAGTCTTTGTCCTGACTATTGATCGGAAGAAAAACCTAATAGTTTCATAAACTATCGCCGTGACTGACATGAAATCTGGATGTTTGACCCTTTGTCATCAAAACGTAGTATGCCAAACCAAGATTAATACCTACGATTGACAAGAAAAAACAATTATCAAAGAAAACGAGGCATTTTACTGGAGATTTCGGGAAGTAATCTTCCTTTAAGTAATCTTCCGAAAAGGATAGTTTTGTTATCCAAAAATATATCAATGTTCAGAGTATTTTTAAGCCAATCGCCGATCTGGTTCCAAAAAAGGGTTAAAACTCAGAAGTACAAAAGAGACGTATCAAGGTTTCACTCTCAGCTTGACAAAAGAACACAAGTCATTATCTCTTTTACCAATTTTAAAAGGAATAAGAGTTACCAGCCAAGATTCTGTGAGTAAGTCTACATTGAAACCATCGCAATTTAGTATCACATCTTAACAGAAAAGGCAAACAGCATAACTCCAACCATTCAGTGAGAGGAAACTTACAAGCCAGCTTCATTTCTCATCAATCAATAAACCTACAGACAACCTTCATTGCAGGGGTAAGACTATAATACAGACAAGTAGAGCCCTTTTGTCCAGCATAAGTAACTGCAAATTAAAAGGAATAAGGGGAAACATGTATTAGAGTTGACCCGTGACAATGTGCTACGAAAAGATTTTTTCCAAAAAGTTGGTCCTGATGTCATATTTTAGCATAAACTATCTAGGCTTAAGAGGTGACCTTCACTATCGAGCAAGTCACTTTAAGAAATAAAGTCTTTTTTAGCCCAAAAATGCAGTTATTGCCAACTGTAATTCTATGGTTGTACCACAAAACATTTTCAAGCACATCCTACCCGTGAGATGAGGCATGACATTGAACAAAATGACTCCAGGCTTTATAAACGTCAATCCAAAACTGATTTGGATACTTTACCAGATGAAGAAAATACGTGATGCTAAAATGACCACCTTCAATAAACAACACATTCTGAATATTACTAATCTTATAAAACAAAGAAACCCAGATAGAAATGTTGCTATTCAACAAGTCTACGGATCCACGTACACTTAAGAACTTCAATGTATAAACTTAAATCAACCATCTTGACACCGCCATGATTATAATCTTGAATCATCTGATTTCTAGCAAATCTGTCCACCCCCTCCATCTAAATGTATACAGCATAGCATTTAAACTCTTAATAATGTCTGGGGCGGATCTGGAGGAACCAAAATCAAAAAAATAAATGTAAATAAGATAAGTGATTTAACAACTGTGACTCGACCAAGAACCGTTACATTTCTCTGAGGCCAATGATCGATTAGAGTAGCGGTGGCTTCAAGCACTCTACTATAATTTATGATTGTCATGTTATCAAGATTGAGAGTAAAATCAATGCCAAGGACTATCCTCGGGGCCAACCCAATGAATATGAGTATGCTCACAGAGGTGTTTCTGACGTCCCTAATTACCACCAATCCACACAGCATTTGTATTATTTATATTCACTCTGAGACCAGAAACATTACCAAATCACCCCAAATCTTAAAAGCTCTCTCAAAAGACTGTTCTGTACCATCTAAGAAGAACTGTATCATCAGCATACTGAGAAAGCCTACACTCTTTATCCTCTACTGAAATACTCTTAAGAATGTTGTCATTACGAACAAGCATACCCATAATTTCAGCACAAAAAGGACACAAATAAGGGCTCAAACCGTCTCCTTGACGATACCCCGTTTTATCTTAAACTATTCCGAAAAAAAAAAGTTTACTAACATCGAGGCGGTCGTACCGCTGTAAAGAATTTGAAACCATTCCTGAATAGAGGGTCCAAAATTAAAGAGGTCCAAGTCTTCGCTTGTAAATTCAGTCCGAGTGAATCAAACGCATTCCAAAGAATTTCAAAGGCATTTTAGTCTTAAAGTCTTGATAACATCTCAGTCTTTGTCCCGACTATTGCTCGGAAGAAAACCTAATAGTTTCATAAACTATCGCCGTGACAGACATGAAATCTGGACGCCATCAAAATGTAGTATGCCAACCTAAGATTAAAACCTTGGATTGACAAGAAAAAACAATTGTCAAAGAAAACGAGGCATTTTACTAGAGAGTTCTGGATGCATCCTTCCTGTGCATTTTTCAGTCAATTATTTCTTGAGGGTATTATTCTTGTACAAAGCTCTGTCGTGATAGCCAATAAATGTGAAGATTTTGTCCATTTAAAAAAGGGTGAATAATCCATCTTAAAAGCTTTCCTGATTTTTTTCTATTTTTCTGGATTTATAGCTATTAAGAAGCCAGACAGACTTCCGAAGTGGTAAAAGAATCAATAGATTTGTATTCATCGGTTGTCAGGAAACACGACGAGCGTGGCTGAACTTTTTTATCTTTGAATTCACCTTTGAAACAAGTCGCTCCTATACTTGGGATGGTAAATTCGAGTGAATGAATACAAACCACTCCATCTACTGACAACAAAGCCAAAATCGTCTCACATAAACTTTTGAAATGGGATTTGTACAAGTTGTCCTGTCTTCTTCAATAACAGAACGACAAAATTAAGATGTCTTCTCGAGCTCAAGCTGTGAGGGATGTGGTAGCCTTTTCACCAAATGGGGCGCTTTTTACAAAGCTGTGCCCACCGTACCATATTATGACCACTTTAACTACCGTAAACTCTTTTTCTTGGGGGGGGGGCGTGACATCCATTTAAACCTTTTTATGGGAGGGGCAGATGCTGGATGCTTCCCTTTGGATCTGTTTCTTCTGTATCTGCTGTCTATTTTATGGCGTAAGTCTATGGCTAGGCCAGAGGAGGATAATTTCTAACTCACAAGGTCGAGAGCTACAAAGATAATGCACCGAAAAGAGGCTGCAGTTGAGCTGCAGTTCACAAGGCAGAGCAGTTCCTTCGTTTTTTTTTGCAGAGAAAACCCGTAAATCAAACTAAATAAGCTGAAGCCTTTAACCCTAATCTGCAACGGATTGTTTAACTCAAATTTCAAATGATTGATATCAAATGGGTATTTTCAAACACAAGGTTACTTCAACCAATCAGCTGTTATGCAAAGTGCAGATCCATGGGGACTATTCCCTCCTCCTTCCTGCCTCCCCCCCAAAAAAAGTAAATAATATGAGAGGAATTGCGTTTGTGGTCAATCATATTCCTTACATTTCGAGAACAATGCCAAAAGCCCTACTGAATATAACCTCCCCCTCCGAAAGACCATACAAGATTACTTGAATTTTTTTTATTTTATGGCTCTCCAGTACGCCCCCCCCCATTTCGTTCTGGATCCAACCTTATGTTTGTATATAAGAAGCAATAACATCAGAAAGACTTGTCAGAGCTTAACTCGACCATTCAAGGGAAACCAAGCCTTTGAAACCGACAACTCTCTGAAAATCTGGATAGTTAAAATTCCTTTTAATATAAGCAAATCTCCTTCGAATGAAGTTGTAAAGCCACACGCACCGTGATAGGTACGTGTGACTCCTGTAACGCCGAGTAAGGCCGCCTTTATGAGTGAAAATAACTGCAGGGCGCTTCCTTTCTTCCTGAACATTTGTACATTTAAAAATCGATATACATGTACTGCTGGTGTTGTCGTTGACACTGCCGGTAACCTCTGGCCTGTACAGGAGTATCTGATTCTTGTACAAACTGGAGAACATCAGCATACGTATCGCTTCTTTTCAAGATGAAAACTTTCCGGGGGACAAAGCACTCATCAGCTCAAAAATAAAAAAACAATTAACAGTCGCAAGGGGTCCTTTTTGAAGTTTTTCGAGGACTTGGTGATTTTTCGCCCCCTTGATCTCTCGTGTTCGTTTCCTTTGCTTTCCCCTTTATTATTTTCAATTTTTCTCCGGGGGCGAGAGGGCGCTTGCCCCGCCCCCGCGACGCCCATGAACCCTGCTTAGTCTTTGAATCACAGCTAGTAATCTTTGAGCACATTCCATGTGACCCTTGCCGTTTCTGAATAGATCCAAAAAGATACACGGACTGGCAACCTGTGTCAGTCAGCATGTTACATTAGCAGGGCTACTGGAGGCTGACTTCTACACCGGAGCACCCACAAGCTTGTTTAAATTGATATTCAGCTAGCAATAATGCAACCACATGAGGATATTATCAAATGAGGATATTTCCATAATTTCAGTAGGCTACATTCTGTAAAGTCGGTTTGGATCAAGTCGGAGCGAAGTTAAGTTTTTGTAGAAAATCTTCTTTTTTTGGAAGTGGCAGTAACTATAACTTCCACTGTAATTTTTGGATTTTTTTTTTTATGAATTGAAATACCAATACAGGTAAGCTCGGTTTTTTCAATGTTGCGTAAAATTGCCCACAATTATAATTTGTTAAGTAATATACGTCATACATGGGTTTATGTGTCCATGAAATAAAAAAGACCGTAAAGGAAAGGACACAAGTGCTAATGAAAGTTATTCTAATTTGTCATTTTACTTCTGTGCCAAATTTAGTGCGCAAATGTGTAATTTCATAAATCGTAAACAAAGTGAAGTCTTTACAGAAAATGGTTTTTCGGATATGGCAGTTACTATAATTTCCACTTTAATTTTTGGAATTGTTTTGTTTATGAATTGAAATACCAATAAGCTCGGTTGTGGGAGACATACATTTTCACTGTTGCGTGAAATGCCCATAATTATGTTTTGTTATTGTGTAATATACGTCGTACATGGGTTTATGTGTCCATGGTAATAAAAAAAGCCCGTCAAAGAAAGGACACCAGTGCTAATGAAAGTTTTTCTAATTTATCAGTCTACGTCTGTGCCTAATGTAGGGCATTTTTAAGTGCATCCATTTTAAGGAAGGTACTAGCCCCCCCATTTTGTTAATGAAAGCTACGGTGGCTTTGCAATGGCTTCACATCAGATCTTGTGCAAGCATTTGCTTCTTATCTGAAATCCTCACATCATTTCTGTTATTTCGATATTCAATTCATGTGAATATTTCATTTAAAATATGGAAATACATAAACTAAACTAAACTATAACTAAAAATCCATGCATATATCATTTCGAATGTTGAAGGATGAATGATAAACAAAGTTTCTTCAATGGGGCCAGTACTCCCTAGGTCTTTGGCTTTCACGCTCCTAAAAAGGTGAGGTTGCGATCGCCCCACCTCCAATATTTTCTAATCCTCAATATTTGTCTGCGAGGAGCTAAAATGTTAAAAATGATCACAAAATGGCACGGTGGGGGTATGTAAAGTGAGCCCCCATCTTTAAAACGGCTGCTACGCCCCTAAAGGAGTGAAGCTTTTTCTTATAATTATAAAATACCGATCCAAAGTTTTATGATTTATAAAAAGGTGCATCATTAATTATTATAACAGATAGCCACTGGACAGCAAGGGAACTGCGGAAACATGAGTGGAAACAGTTTAGACAGACAACAATAGAAAAAGGGCACACGATATCTTCTGGGCGTGGGCTTGATATATTTCAACGAAATGAGTACTAAAAAAGTGTTTCTCAAGAGGGATCGTCCAATCGGGAGTAGGTCACCCTGCGGCGGACTGGAGGATGAACAGCTTGCTCGTAATTTAATAACATCTCAAAGAACGTGTCATCTTCGAGGAAGCAAGGCAAGAGAGTTAACTTTGTTAACTGGGGCACTTGTCGATTCAGCTCTTTGGAAGGCGAAACACAAGGGCGATCAAATAAGAAAGCGGTGAAAGTTTCTTCAATTTTTCGCCAATTTTCCCCTAAATTCAACCAGCATCGCCGTCTCCAGTATTAAATCAATGAGCGACAAGAACTAACGAAGTGTTCTCAAAAGTTGCACGTATCTGGAAAGGGGATTCCTGAGTTAATATCGTACTGCCAAAACTGCGTTATGTTCACGAACACAAGGCCTTACTCTAATTGAATGACTGAATACGAAACTACAAGTGGTTCTTTTACGAAGCATGTACCAGAATAACAGTCTGAAGAAATTATGTTGTGCAACATTCAATACGAAAATGGCAAATAGCAAAAACGTGAAGCTTTTTTTTTTAATAATTCTGCCAGTACAGTCACTTTTCAGTTAAAGGGAAAAAGTGACTAGGTCTTGACGCAGTCGGCGTAGCACAGCATGCGGCAAGCGATAGTAATTACTTAATAGCTATTCATCAATTTGGACGGTCTTACATTATCAGTATTAGACTGAAAGAATGACAAGTATAAACATTAATTTGATCAGATACGATTGTGACTGTCGGTAATTACGATCATAATTTGTTGCCTTCTTGAAATGTAGTCCCTTCAAGCATGCTTCATACACGTGTTTCACGTCTCCCACTACCCAATTGAGCCAGGTCGGGTAGTCTAGTTCCCTGCCCAAAGATTCCCTGACGACTCTTGATAAGAAATCTCAGGTCAGGCATCACTCACGGATATAAGTAGATACGACACAAGGGTCAGGGGTCACAAGTCCTCGTCAGGCCCTGATTCTCCCTAGATTCTCCTCTGGGGAGATTATACCGAGGAGACCTTAGATTCAGTGTAAAGTCAAATATTGTAGGATCAACGGCTGCCATTAGGATATGGGAGTTTACGTTCAACAGCAAGCCTACCTACCCGGCCGGGAATATCCGAACATCAACGGTGCCATCCGAACATGCCGAGTATAGACGGCTGACTTCGGAATATTTCGGCTATTTCCGGAAAACTGGAGGAATTCCTCCAGTCTTGGTCACGTGGACATTGGGTGATACCGGACCCTTGAATTGTAGAGTAGTCAGAATCATTGGGTCTGGTATCCAGACTACCAGTTCGCTATTCCGACAGCGCATGCCCAAAACGAAGTGCGTCCGAGGTCATTCGGACGCGCGTGCGAGGTCTACCCAATCAGCGTGGCCCTTAAAGGACTCGCGCGCGTGCTTTGTTTCCAAATGACCTTGGTTTTTTGAAATACCAAACTGGCTCATTGTGTCTTATTATCCTCCCCTTCTGGCGGCAGATCATGGCAAATGTCTTGTCTACAGTCCACAGAGCGTTAAGTTGATGATTTAAGTGGCCATTACCTTTCTTCCTCTCCAGGAGATATTTTGGCTCTAGTCGTGGTGGTTTTCCACATTACGGAATTCTTCCCAATCACGTGGCCAGTCCTGTGGGCGTTCGACTGGCAGTGCTCTGTCCATCGATTCTTTCGATTTGTGGGTTTCAACAACACCGTTCTGACCATGACGGCCATCGCAGTGGACCGCTTCTACGCAGTGCGCCACCCAGTAACCTTCAAGACGCGCTTCACTGTCAGGAGAACGCGCATGGTCGTCGGTGCTCTGTGGGTAGTGACTTTGCTCGTGTCTGCACCGTTTGCAGTCATGTTTCGGGTAACTGTAACAGCTTGAGTTAAGTTCTAAAGATATTGGCAAGTGGCTCTGCTTATGAAATTTATCTGTGAATTGTCCACTACATGCTGTTTTGGTTTGAATTCTGAACTTTTCTATATTACTAGTCAATTCATTCAGTCCGTCATTCACAAAGCATGTTAAATAAAATGTTGATACATAATGTGTACAGGAAAAACTTTCAAGGGCAGAACCTTGAGCTGAAATATTTCTAATTCGTTTCATATTTACTCTGAGTTCCTCTGTCATTTCATATCACGTCATGACTGTCAAGAGAATTCTTATTGAAAGAGAGCAATTTGAAATCCAAATGACAGATGCCATTTATAATCACAAGAACCCCTAGGGCTGAGGCAAAACCACAGCCGTAGCACGACATACTTGATTCGGACAGAACCCAAGTCCGCATTCTTCGAGCGTTTTTGAAACGAGTGGATTCGGCTTAGACATTGATTTTGCTGGTGCGTTCAGCAGTGTTCGAAACCACATGTTCAAGCTCTGACTGTAACCAGCGAAACTGAGGTCTACGCCGAATCCACTCGTTTGGAAAACGCTCATTTCAGGCAACCACTCATGACGGAAACAGCCAAAATAACTTTTGACCCTAGATGAAATATTGTTAACACTCTACTAACCTCTTTTCCACTTCAGAGCATATATGGTGGAAACGGCAAGGCTGAAACGTACCCAGGGAAGCTATCGTTTGCCTGCAAGCTCGTTCTCAGCTCCTTCGGTGATTGGTTTGTTACATTCAAGCCTATCTACTTGAACGTCGTCTTGTTTTACGTGCCGGTTATCGTCACTGCTGCCCTCTATGTCATCATCGTGCTGCACGTGTGGAAGAACAATAAATTCGTCAGTTCGCAGATGGGTCGCTCCCCTCATCGCAACTCACACTGGAAAACTGCCAAGACGCTCTTGACAGTTTTCGTGGTGTACGTCACCTGCTACATTCTCTTTGCCACTTACAATTTACTCGCGCCTCTCGCTCCAGGCTTGTTGCCCCCGCAAATCAAGAACGTGGGCCTGCTGCTGCCCTTCGTAAACAGCTGCCTGAATCCGATCGTGTATTCCTTTATCAATCCGAGTTTCCGTAAGACGTGCTGGGAGACGTTCTGCTGCTCTACCCTGGCGCACTTTTTCCCGGGGACGACAAAAGCGGGAAGTGCGATGAATTGCACGACGTGCAGCAGCGGGGACGTGAACGAAAGGGTTGAAGATAAAGGCGCTGAGCCACCGCTCATTCCAACACAAATTAGAGTTGCTGTCATTTCAGCTGACTGTTCTTTTTCGGCGGTCAAGGAAACCCAAACGGGGAACGGTGTACTTGTGAACGACTCGAAACCAGAGAACCCGACTGGGCAGTGTTGCAACACAAATATCTAACCTCGATTCCGAGTAAATCTGTATTGTTTTCAAAACAGGCAGGCTACAAAATATGAAAGGTCACACAAAAGTGAAAGGCGGGAAAGATTAAGGAACGCATCCCTCACGAATCTTCAGGTTAAGCTTTGGCTGAAATATAGGCCTACTATACCCTTGTACAAAGGAACGCAAAATAAACTGGCAGTTATAAATTACGAGAGAAAATGAATTCACATTAAAATCCCGAAGTAAGTACAGTATAACACGCGTTAACTTCCGGTTCCATGGTTCCATCTAAACGGCGATCAATGCATGTAACTCTATGTGCAGTGCATGTGCAGAGGGCGTGGTTTAAACTGAAGTGACGTCACACTTACGAACCGGATTAGAGACATAGTGATTATAAACGCGCGCTTATGCGATGAGTACCAAAAAGAACAAGCCCTTTTGTGTTCCACTAGGAGCGGATAATGGTCTTTGCGTGCACGCAGAACTCTTTTCCCTGTTGGAAAACTTCGTATCATCTGTCCTTCTTTCGCCGGTGGGAATGCACTTCAACTCAGGGCGGATTACGCGTTGTATGACGCCATTTCGTTTCCAATATGGTAAGCTGTTGTGCGTAGTCATGTGCTTATCGATCTTCAAATTAATGTAGATTTAAAGAGTGCTTTGAGGTGACGTGACAACATATTTTTGAGTAAAAGCGTATGTAGACATTGTGGCTTATGAATGCAAATCGTGCAAGCCGAAAATGCCGCAACTCTTTGCTTGCATCAATTGAAAGACGCCCTCGGCTCGATTGAACACACTGGAAGGGACACAGAGACCCGGGAGAAGGCGCTATCATCAGAAAAAAAGAACCGAAAAAGCAGGCAGTGGGACCACAGACATGAACTACCCATAGACGGACAGTACGTGTAGAAATCAAGGTGTGGGTACCATTATTTAGTCGGACTAAACATGAAACACATCCGCCCGCCGTTCTCGATCTGTAGGTATTCTGGGTCTGTGCGTGGAATATCTTAAATTGGTCTCAAAGTGGAAACACAAATGTGAACAGGCAATCTGGAACTTATTGTTTTAGTGGTAAATCTTTTGATTAGTATTTGGAACAATATGGTTTTGTCCAGGCACCGTAATGAGTACTCTAAAAATGTTGTTTTTCGTATGCGCCAAGGCGGGAAAATAAACATAATAATCAATGCTGCAGTTATCCTGTTCGTGAGTGTGACGTCACTTCAGTTTAAACCACGCCCACCGCACATGCACTGCACATAGAGTTGCCTGCATTGATCGCCGTTTACATGGAACCGTGGAACCGGAAGTTAACGCGCAACTTCAGCGATCATCCAATGGGAGCCTGCAAATCGGGGCGCGTCTGCCTTTCTGACGAACTCACTTACGCACCAGATAATAAATAGAATGTTGTTTAGTGATTGGGAACTGACTGAAATGCATACTCAAAATGTATCGATGTTTCAGGCATGTATCTTTGAAACTCTCGAAACCTATGGTAAAATAATCGAGTACTGCATGGTCGCAAAACAAAACCATCCGAAACGGAAATATAAAACAGTATTCATATAACTGTCTTGATCACAGTTTTTTAATCATTAGTTGGGAATTAACGTTGGGAAAAGTAGCCAGTAGAAAAATGTAAGCGGATGTTAAAAAAAACTATGCCTATATCCAGCCCTGAATATTACATAATTATTGACAGTTAAAAAGACTTTGCTGAAGGAGCGAAAGCTTTTAGTTGTTATTTTAAATTCCATATCTTGTAGCAATTTAAGAAGGTAATGATCCCGTACTTCCATTAAGACAGTGATACTTGCACCTTTAATAATTGTCACGTTCAACCTGTCCGCGAGGTTCAAACAGAAGGTTACATCGTTCTGTTGAAGATCATTTCCGCCCCCCCCCCCCTTTAGGGAAGGATATACGAACACATCGTCTAGGCTAATTTGGATTTTTGAATCGTTGTCACATAAGGTGCATGAGGTGGGATTGTTTTAGGTAAGAGAAAGCCCATCAAGTCTATTTCCCGTCTACTTGCTCGCCTTGGGGGTGTCCAAAGTATGCAAAACTGTCGGAAGTTTGCGAGACATCACGGCCAATTAGCTGCACAGTGATTTAACGATCATACTTGGAGCTTGTGAATGTATCCCAATTCCCCAACAAACTCTCTACAAAGTGGATGGTAGTTTTGGGAGTGCGAGAGGAGGAAATAGTTGATAAAAAGTAGTTGTCTAACACTAAATAGCCGCGTGCTCCACCTGGCACCGATTGTAATCCAGTTCGAGTGGTAAAATTTACCAAGTAGTGGCCAGAATAGGCACAGCTTTATAATCGTTACATTGAGTTTCATTCAGAAATATCATTAGGCCTCCTATCAAATGTGAAACTATGGATTCTTGTGCCATTGGGACATGAAGCAGTGACCGGTCTAATTCGTTGTAACTTAAAAATTCTCTTTCATCTCGTCATCCACCTGAAAGACTGAACACAAAAAGATGTGGGATCGCTGCACAAACAACTTATCTTGCCAGAAAATATCCGAAACACAGACCGGTGGCAAAAAAATGGCGATTATTTTGAGTTTCATTGGTTGATATCGTGACGGCACACGGCACTCTACATCATATGTACTAGTTGTTTTCTTGTAGTTATATAGCCGTGATTGAACTAAAATTTCGTAATTCTGTCGGAGCTATTTTACGACTGTTGTGTAATATTTTTAAACAAACAAACCAAAGCTGTGACAATCCTCGACTTATAAAATTTTAACGCATCGGCCCAGCCGTACGCTCGTTACGTGCAAGATAAAGGAGCTAACGCGCTGGAAGTCCAAAGCACCAATAAGAAGCCTGTACTACAGGGTTTGCAGGTGATCACATCAATTTGTCGTCATCTCTCTCAACGGGGCGCAGTGTAATGACTATCGAAAGGAAACACCGGGGTAATTACTGCACTAACAAGATGTTTCAGATGAGACAAGCTCATTAAAGTCGAGGACAACGAGAGAAGTATTACCTCCGTAATTGACTGTGAGCATAGAGTTCCATGTTGCTGCGGAGGACATTATAGGAACATTATCTATCCGGACCCTTGTCCAGAAGGTTGAGAAATCGGCGCTACATAAAAAACAAACAAACAAACAAACAAACAAACAAACAAACAACCCAACAAACCCGAAACACTATTCAAGTCTCTAAAATGCAGAGCTGAGTTTCTCGCTTGACTCCGACGGATGATTGGGAGTTTATGTGTATTCTACTGGTGAATTAAACGATTAAAATAAGTTCGAGTCAAACGTAAACTGCAAAACTGCTCATGATCATCATTCATGGCCTCTGAGACAGCATGGAAACGTCATTCTTTGTTCAGTCTTGCAATTTTGGTTTTCCTTGTTTTACTTTATGTACACTGTTAACCTGTGTAATTTAGTTTTAATCGCATATAAATAATAATAATAATAACAACAATGCATAATCTATTGTTTCCCAGTACCGACTTTTCTTACTAACTCTTGGCATTCCGTAAAATGTAATCTTTCCCCGATTTGTCTTTAAGGTTCTCTGTATCAATACTCCCGAGCCATTGTCTTTAGTGTCAAGGTCGTATTTTTGTTTCTCGTGTATTTGTTTCTTGATGCTTTTTTGTCTGCCGTCCATGAGAGATTCTGCAGTTCAATTACTGTTTTCTTTCAGGCTGTTTTTGTACATTTGCTGCTGACTCAGGAATTCTTTTTGATTTTGTCCAAATAATTTTCAATGCAGAATGCTCTTTTGTCTGCGCTGTGGCCATACCCCGCAGCTTATAGAGTTTCCGAGAGTGCATCTACTTTATCTTGGCCCTTTCACGCGATGTATGATGGGAAAGAAAAGCTCAATCAGTTTGTGTTATTTTAATTCGTACTCAAAGACGCTTGTATTCTTCTTATTTTGTTACGTGATCAATTTAAAAGAAACTTCATATTTGTGCGTGACCGTGAGATGGCTGTTGTCAATCGAGAATATTACATTGCAGAGATCTTTCAAAACTACGCTTTCATCTGAGATTGAATTGCCATTAGGGAAGTCTAATGCACCCCCCCCCATCTCACTACTTAATATGTATTTTTATCTTTATCTTTTGTTATCCATTTCTACTCACTCCTCCTTTGTTTCGTTTTATGTGCAATGCTGGCACAAAAGAGATCGACGTAACGCTAACACACAACACTGTGATAAATCCAACTTGATCATAGCAATGGACCTCGGCGTGGTAACGTCGAGCGGTCAAGGTCCTGATATTGCTTCACAGCTCTGACTTCATGTTCATCCCATGGTGGATTGGGTCGTCTGCAGATTGTCAGTTGAGTTCCTCCGAGATGGGGTTCCCTTCACACTCCAGATTGACTTTTTTCTCTTCCTTTTCACCCCCGATTTTTGTTTTAATCGTCCCAAAAGAAGGAAGGGTTTGGCTTCTGAGGGAGGAAGAGCGGAAAGCTTGGCTGTAACTTCCTCGTGGTTCAGGAGAGACCACGGCCTGATGGGATGTCTTCACCGGCATATGAAATTCTCCAGTATTTCGATAGCATGCAAAGTGACCAATCCAAAACAAGCAACACATATGATTTCATGTTGGTACAAAATTACCTTAACTGTGGATTCATTATTGTAACATGCACCTGACCAAGTTTCGCCCAAACGTGAACGCAGTCTCTATCTAATAGGTTAGCATTCAATCTCCATCAACCAAGCTAACGGCATGTCAACCAAGACAGAAAATAACAGCAACTCCTACAGGACCAATCAAGTTAACCCGTCGATAAAAGAAAGCAATTGAGGAGAAGGAAAGTGGAACATTCGACGTTCATTTTTTTATTTCCCCTGAAATCGTACAAACACTGCCCTATTAGAACTCAATTAGTAAATTATCTCTTCATTGAATGAAACACAACATCAGCTCAATGCATAGTCATTTCTAATTCTCTCTGTCACTTTTTGGGTTGGACAAGAATTATTTGCGATTGTGCTTTTTCCCCGCTTCATTGCAAGAGTTAAAAAGCTGGGAATTAATGTTGGAGCTGAGACATAAACCAGAAACCACTTCCTAATGTCCATGGTCTTGTTTATTTGAAATTAACAAACTGAAAAAAGACCCAGTAATAAGTGCGCCATGAACCGGCTTCGTCTTTGATCCGAGAACTACATAAAGTCAAGCCTCCGCCTCCCTACATGTGACGTCATCACATATACAAGACGAGCACCATGGCGATGCAGCGTATACGGCAAGCTCGGGCGCAAACTATGTGGTTTGACTACTAGTCAGTTACTTTGACACTGGGCATGCTCAGTGCACTTCCGCTCGAATTTGCCTTGTTGAACTATAACTGGTAAAATCTCATCGTCACATACATTAATATTGGCCGTTTGCTGCAACTCTTGCGGTGTAGCCTACATGGTCATTGACATCTCGGATAATTCTATTAGTGTGAATGGTTCCCTCCATGCTGACAAATGAATGGCCCGTCGACAACCAGCCGTGCTATGCCCTTAGCCTGGTTCCTAATGGTCGACAAGATGGTCCAAACCATCCATCGTTCAGAAGATGTCAGTCGAACAGCGATTAACTATTGTTGTCGCTCGAACTTACCCATAACAACTGAGACAACATCACTCACTACGTCAGAGTATAAAAGAATGCCAGAGGTGATACATATCTCAAAATTCTTCAACTGTCTTTTCTGCTTGGATGAGGGTGAAAGTTGCAATTTTCTTTCACGACGAAGAAAAACTCTATCCTACCTGTCATGGCGAATGCAACCGAGTGGTACCAACCGGACGTAGCGGGTAGCAGCGGGTATCAGCCCGGTTACGAGGTACCCCTCTTGACCGTGGTGTGTCTGCTGGGATTCACCGGCAACTTCATGGTGTGGACCGTCTACAGTAAGCCTAAGTACAGGAAATCCAATGCTGCCCTTTACATACTCAGTTTGGCCGCAGGTAAGTCCAGCGCACGATTTTCTTGCAGTTGATAACCACACTGATATAGGAGATGGGACTTCTGTTATCCCAACGCGAACTGGAATTCTTTTGCATAATTGATTACCCCGAACGCTTGCTTTGATATACCGAGAGAAAAAGAAGATTTTACATTTGGGTGAAATAGTTGTATGCAAATTTATTTACATCATAAACAATTATTACAGATATTTTAAGACCACTGAAAAGGACCCTCGCATGAATAGTCCTGTGCATAGAGAAAATTTACTTAGCAATAATGATTTTTTTAAAATAGAAACCTGGAAAGCTGTGGCACTTTAATTAACACTAGCAGTCTCAAATCCTCCAACTTCAATACGATTTTACATACACCTATTTTATACGAACTAATATAGATAGCCATGGAAAAAGTACTCTTGAATATTTGCGCAAATTTGACATATTAGATCAGCTAACACGTGCCATCAACCGGGGACTATAACCACGTGCAATATTTATACGGCAGACCTGACAGTTGTTGGCATACATGACGTGGATGACAGGAGCCCAGAGATCACTGGCACTAAATTAGAAATTGCATGTCTTCCTAGAGTTAATTATTAAGGAGAATCTTCCCTGGATAAAAGAAGGAATTGGTTCCATTGTAACCTGTGAAATTATTCAGTCTGGCAAGTTGCCATTTAAAAAAACAAACCAATTTATGCAATTTTCAAATGGATTATATGTCAGAGGAATCCCTTTGTAACTTCGACCTTCATAAGATGGACTCAAAAACTGCCTGCGCCACAATATGGCATGCCCCAATTATTTGCATGCACGAACGAGAAACCGTGGCACCGGGATTCTGCGTCGACTTTGAAATCTTAGGTCGAATCCAGTCTCAAAGTTGATCCTGCTATGTATCAATATAAAACTATATACGGGCTTTGAATGTAGCCGGCTTAAAAAAAGTGGGGGTAAAACTTGCAGTTTTGGAAAGTTAAAGGAAAGTTTAATTATCCACTGATTCAGAACCAATTGGACTTTCAATAGGCTGCTCAAGAATTTCAATGTTTGTGCATCTATAATCATTGATATTTTGAGTAAATGGTATATCACACAGAACGACAAGAGAATATTTAAAAAGCCGTGCTCACGAGCCGCAAAGTTGAGCCAAGTCTCGAAGCGAACTTGTTATTATTCTTTCATTGAATCCAGACATTTGGCCAAATTTGATACTTCAGACCGGAAATTTGTCTCACGTCAAGACTCATGACGAAGGGGCTTCAAGCTTAAGGAGATAACTCATTGCTGAAATTGTCACCAGTGAGTTGAAAAATACAGCAAATCATATCTGAGATTTCACTGGCGATAAAACCCTGTGGCAGTACATCGCAAAGACATGGTGTCTTGGCAGCTCGTTCTCAGGCGCAAAAGATAGTTGAAGGTCATGTACGGTCGATGGTTGAGATACTGAGATATCTGATAAGGCTCAATCCTTCCGATTCTGCTGTTTTAAGAGGGGATTTTCACACGGATTGAAAGGCCAGACGAACGGTTAACCACTCTACCGACGGGCCCGACCTTCCTAGATTTAAAGGGTGGACCCGAGGCTGTTAATCGCTCGCCTGCGATGGTTCAACTGTAAAAAACCAAAAACTGTAAGACTTTCTTAAAATACTCAGTCACATGTGAGAAAAAAAAAACTAATGTCGGACTTACACTTGTGGCAATTAAAGGGTGGAAAAAAGACGGACTGAGGGCAGCTTCCTCAAGCAACATTTTGTAGTTCTTTCCTGAAAAAAGTACTTAAACAAACGAAACCAGCGCTAGCCCGTTCCGCCCTTCTCCTTCCTGTTTACGGAAGAACATCTTTTGAGCAGTCATCCGCTCCGAGACGGCGTATTTTTTGGTACTCACCGCATAGGCGCGCCATGAGGCGCGCAAGTGTATGCGCATTTGATGCTGAGCACGCTGAGTATGTATAACTTATTTACTCCGGCATGTACATTGTATGGTCTTTGCGTACACGCAGAACGCATGCAAGAACCTGCTGGTAACCACCTGTCTTTCTTTTCGCCGATTGGGGGTGCACTTCAGCTTGGGGCGGATAGTCTATCAAACAATTTCCCTTGCTTATATCCAAACCCACTGAACTAAAAACTTCGCACCGCCGAATGCACGATTTTCTTTTTCTTGGGGGATATAAAGTTAATTTTTGTAGTTCATCACTTCTGCAATCTCCAAGCAGAACTTACGAAAATTGAATGACCTTTTGCCCTTTTCTTACAGTAGCTAAACTTCACAAACTAGACTCAAATCGTGCAACACATTAATTTCGCTTTATTTTCTAACTCCATTTTTTTTCTGATGGTGTAGCAGTTAACAGTCACATTTTAACGCTGACGCAAGCGCACAGAAAAGAAATATTTGTAGGGCTCAGTCTACTCGACTTCGTACTTGTAACACAAATTCAATAAATACTGTCAATAGCGGCAAAAAAGTATCTTTAAGTTCATTAATCTGAAAAAAAACCTAGAGATCTTAGCAAAAAACACACAGGCTACTTAATTAAAACATAAAATTAGCAATAACGTCCATCAAAAATATTAACGTTATTACTGAAAATTAATGTGGTAATAAACTTTACAATTCCATTTGGCGTACATGTTTAGAAAAGCCATCATCTATACAAAGATTTCCACATAAAGCAAACTAAAAAGAAATTTAAAGCGTTTTAGGTTGTCGCTCTGCCTGAATTCTGATTTAGAATGGGGTTACCGGCCGTTTCGTGACAATTTAGGCAGCGGAGCAATTTTGGGTTTTTTCTTTAGAAAAATTCCAAGTCCCTAAAAACAACCAATGTTCAATCCATTTTGGACAGCAAAATTATCACTGTGGATGCTGAAGGAATTCCATGAAGACGATCGATCATTACTGGCTTTATTACAGGCATTACAGGCGGCGTCCTTCTCAGTAATCTGACGAAATGCGAGACTTTTAATTTCATTGAAGTAGGACATGTAAGTTCAGGGGTTGATTACGAATTGCAAATCTCAAGATTTGGTTTCACTTCGGAAGATCAGGTGGTCCATTTTTAAGTTGTTGAAGAGATATTGTCTGCTCTTCCGACGTGGCATAACAAAAGTACCTTTTCAAATTATACAGCGACAATGGTATTATTCTACGAATTGTACATTTTCTAATTAGACATCAAATGAAGAGATTAGGTTATGCGGGAACCTTACACGTGATTATAATGAGCCAATCAATACGCTATGGTCGAGTGCGCTGTTTTTCCATTCACATGCACCTGACTGAACCTGATGTGGGAGTAATTCTAATTAATTAATCCAAAATGGAGCTTAAATGAACCATCGACATGGATGCAACGACGTTGGTTTTACAACTCCAGGAATTCAAGTACGAATTGTTGGGGAGCTCCATGTTACGTGAGGCCGGAATAACGACCACAGTCATTACAGCCTTGCCATGGCGAGCTTATCTACACGATGCTATAGCGTGACGCTTTCCGAACTATGAAAGATTTATTTGTAAATTTAGATAACAAAAGGCAAACTAAGCTGAAATATTTCATTACTCGAATGTCATCCGCACGGGCAAAGTCCAATCATCTATATACTGTTCAGTGGTAAGAACCAAGCCTTAATCGGGCCTAATGAGCCAGTACAGTGTTCCGTAACTGCCCTGCAGCGCGGCCTTACGTCAATTGGCTAGCGTTTGATTCTCTAATGACTACAAAGCAGAACTCGGGTCAAAAAGATTGGAACATGGTTTTGCAAAACGGAATGCCTTTTTTTTCAAAATAGAACGTGTTTTTAAAACGAATATCATTTTAAGAAGATCGTATTTTTTATTTTTGGACTGCATTTTAAAGAATTTTTAAAGAGCTGAAGAATTTGTGTAGATGGAACATATTTTCTAGATTGGAATAAACTTGTAAAGAGTGAACAGGTTTTGAAAATTCGAGTAAGATTTTACAAATTCAGCATTTTCTCAAGATTGGAAAGAATTTTTAAAGTCCAAACATTTTTAAAGATTGGAATAAAATTGTTTGTTGCGAAAATATGTTTAAAATTGGAAGACTTTTCCCGACGTAAAGCTGTCATTCGGCGCACGCATTTTACCCGAGATCTCATTTCATTCAAATTGAGAAAGCATCCGAATTGACAAAGCATCAAAATTTCTAAAGTATCCGCGTTTATAAAAAACATCCAATCTTTTTGACGGTGTTCAGCCCGAAGTTCCAAACCTTTTTGGACGATTCGGCTATTTTCGGCACGCGCATGCGCAGGCAAACTCCTACTGTGGTTCCCGCTGTCCTTTGTGGTCGTTGCCTTTGGGGCCTGCAGACTCGTCTCCGTGTTGAATGCAGTAGGTAGGTAGGTAGGTACGTAGGTAGGTAGGTACGTACGTACGAACGAAAAACCAATCTTTTTAAAATGATATCCGTTTTAAAAATACATTTGATTTTTAAAACACGTTCGATTTTGAAAAAAAGGCATTCCGTTTTGCAAAAACATGTTCCAATATTTTTGGCCCGAATTCTGCTTCGTAAACCGTTCCTACCAGTCGATTCCTGGAAAGTGTGTGGTGCATGATACACGATAAAGCAGTTGACAGACCAAGTCTTGTCAAAGATCAGACCGCTGCTATAAATTTCTCAACTCTGCTGATTAGTCTTTTTTTGTTTTATTTCATCTTCACAGTTTTCTTCTGAAACCTACTGCGCAAATTCATAAAAACAGCAACCTTGAGTGTTGGGTTTCTCGTAAACAACTTAACATGCTTGCAATTTGCATATTTGCAAGACATGCACTTTTGCTTGTCTTGTCTTTGCTTTACCTTGATTTTGGAACCGTCGGACACGAAAGGGGAGACTAGGGAGTTCTCGTGGGAAATCAAAACAACTATAAAAATGCATTGCATACAGCCAGGGGAAAAAACTCCCCTCATTATAAATTTCATCTCTCTCGACGTGGAAAGTATGTGCATTGAGT